AAAGAAAGAAAGAAAGAAAGAAAGAAAGAAAGAAAGAAAGAAAGAAAGAAAGAAAAGAAAAATTAATTCCCGCGCTGCAAAAGTGACTCTATTAATTATTCTCTTTCAAGCCAAGCAACAGAACCAAAATAACTTCTAAAAACCCAAATACAATTCCACCTTAACTTCCGCATAACACCAAAACAAGTGAAATTGTTTTTCTCTCTCGGGGCAGGAAATAGAAGACTTCTGATCATACCAATGATAATTTTGGATAGCGCAGACAGACGTCTAAATTCTTGACGGTACTAAGTCACATGTTTACCTCGCGAGACAACAGACCCTTAAGACACTTTCCATTTCAGACCACGTGTCGTTTCCTTAAGAATTTTAATTTGTTTTACCGGTAAGGTTTTAGATTGTACATTTATCTGATGTGAGTAATACTAAGAATCGTATTGCAAGGGGTTTTGAAATGGTGAAACATATACATGACGTGCGAAGGAAAAAGCATTTATGTAATCTCGTATCATTCCCTAGAGTATCGCCTCTTTGTTTAACGGTTGTACATGAGAAGACACATGAATATGGATGTTATCCAAACAACGAATCTTTTTCTCAGGAGGATACATAACACGTGGTCTAAAATGTGAAAACATTTCGCTCAAATTAAACTTAAATCCTCTATTGCATGCAGCTGCAATCTACTGGGCCTCGTGTTAAGTATTGTTTGCTTACGTCACGAGCTCCTCTTACGTCAGTGTGTGACGTCACTCACGATATTGTGTACTCAGATCCAATAAATACACAAAAAATACCATAATCTGACAAGTATGACAGAATGTTAGACGCTTCCCAGCCATTGTGTTTGAGATTAAAAAAACAAATAAAATTTTTGTTTAACGGTTGCACACGAAAAGACACGTGAATATGGATACAACTCAAATAAAGATTCTTATTCTCAAGAGAATTCAAGGATGGTTCCAAGATGGGTACAAGCGGTGACTAGTCACCCCCCTTTTGTTCAAATTTCTCAGTATATCGTTAGTGGCAGTCACCCCACTGGATCCCCTAAGAATGACACGTGGCCTGAAACTATTCTCTATTATAGTTGATTTTTAGCGATGAACAAACGCTATTCGGCGTTTCTTTTTCTATATCTTTGCCAATATCAAATCTTTATTTTTGGGAACTACTAGTACTCATATATCAAAGTAATTGCAGAACTATTTTTACATTTGATGTGGATGTCTATCGAAAGACAGAAAACAAATTTTATTCTTAATTTAAAAATATTTATTCAAAAATGCCTAAGTGGAGTATAGTGCTTTTGTTTTTTTCTTCTTCTATTTTTGCATGTATATGTTATATGTAATGAGATGTGCCATATTTCTCAAGTTCAAGGTAAAACAATAATATTGATCGTTCGCGCTCTGTTTTTGTCGTTCTTTCCAATACTCTTATATTCGTTCGTTGATTCATCCATCCATGCATCCATTCATCTATCCACCATCCATCCATCTTTTTATCCCTCCCTTCCTCCCTCCCTCGATCCATCCATCCATCCATCCAGTCAGCCAGCCAGCCATCTATTAAAACAAATATCCATCTATTCATCCATCCCTCTCTCCATTCATTCGTTCATTCATTCTTTCACAATCCGCTTGCGTAAGTCCTGTGCAAACAGCGAGAGATCGCAAACAGGAAATGGAAAACTAAAAAGCTAACGTAAAAATACTTTAAATAGATTTTTGACGCGTTGACTGCAAGTGACATCGAAATCTTTTCTATTTATAGCGTTGAAACCTGATAAAGTCTAAACGTGGGTTTTTAAGCGATTTGTAAAAAATAAGATGAAATATCCGGCAGAGTCGCTATAGAAACGGATGACGTCAACCGGGCTATATCCCCTGGAAATAAGATAGTACACTCCTAATCCGTTCTTTGAATTATTTTCTTGATCAAATTTATCGACGTTGTTTAGCTAAAACGGTTCATAGAAGTATATACAAAAACAAAAGAGTTACATACTTAGCTGCCGTTTCAACGAAAAGCAAGGAAACAGTGTGTTGAACGAATAAAACGACGAAAAGGATTGTGGTAGTTGTAGTATCCTTTTCTCAATACAGTAGCGGATCAAGGAGTGTTTTTGTAAGATCTCGTGTAGCCAATCATATTCTTTATGCTCAGGAAAATGAAATTTGAACCCTCCTTTTGTGAAAAAAAATTGTACTACCTTTTTCTGCGTGGCGATCATTTTGAAACCCCTGAGTTTAAATTCCTGGATTCGCCACTGTAATATGAGATTAATGTCTAGTACTCTCTCCTTAAATTTTTATCTTTTAAATTGGTTTTCCCTTGCTTGAGTGGGGAAACCGCTTATGGTGCTACTTTACAGCACGTACGCGGTACGACATGCAATACCATTGAAATGGCTTCTTAAGAATGGTTTTTGTATGAGTGGGGAACATACGGTACTGACTTACAGTATGTACACGGTACGACATGCCGTAACACTGAAATGGCTTCCCATTAGAATGGTTTTTGTATGAGTGGGAAACATACGGTATTGTCTTACAGCACACAGTACGACATGTTCAAAAACTGAACAGGAAATGGCTTCCTATTGTTATTACCATCTATATTTACAAGAGACTTGGATACAAACTAAGTACGTGGGAGAACAATTCTTATTAAAAGGGATAAGGAAACAATTGAAACTATAAAGATTACGGTCAAACATCCTCAAGCCAAGACATCACTTTAGGAACTCAACACGCTAATGCCACAAATTTACGAGAACATCTGGTCTTAAGCGACAAGTCCGCGTTTCTAAAAGATTTTTTTCAAAGCCAAGCCGGAAAATCAATAACAATTTGGCCAAAACTTAGGGATTTCAGTATAAACTAATCTTATGTCCCTCCCCTCCAGGAAGCCCTACGCCGGCTCAAAAGTATTTTATTTATTCCAGGTAAGAAAAAAGTTTTGGGTCTCATTTTTGACTCTATTCTTAGCCTTTTCAATTTATGAGCATCTGGAACCGGAAATACGTTTTTGAATACAAATACGTTTTTGAAGTAAATATGGATGGCCGAGTGTCTCGACATAAAAATTACAGCGTATATTATATGAAATAAGAATCGATTGTATAACGTACTAAACTATAGAAGAAAACAGGGGAAGAAAATCAC